GCCTGGCTGTGTGCACAGGTGCATGGGCCCCACTCCTGGGCAGAGCAGCCTCTGTGAATGCTTATTCTGGCCCAGGGACCTGGCCAGCCCTTTTCTTCTCCTTAGGATTTCTTCCCACTATGAAGCCAGGGCTACCAGGCACCTGCAAACACCTCCTCCCGTGTGACAAGAGCAACAAAGGCTTGGAGTGCTTCAGCAGGTGTGAGCGTGTGCCTGTGTGTGTGTCTGACAATCCTGGTCCGCTGCCCCGCACCCTCTTGGCCCCCTGTCTCCTAGTATCCCTGGGGCAGCAAAGCCTCCTGCCTGTGGCTGTAGGGGAGAAAGAGTCTAACAAAGGGTGATAGCCATACCTTTCTCCAGAAGTGGCCCCAGACCATCCATCCATTCATCCACAGGAAGGCAAGCATAGACTTGCAGGGGTGTGCACATTTGGGCTGAGTGAGGGCAGGGGATAGGCAGCAAGCTAAGAGATGGAGAGGATGGGAGAGGAAGTGTGTGCACAGCCTACTCCAGGGTCTAGGGGTACATGAGGGACACCCTGAGCAAGTGTGAACAGGGACAAGCAGGCCAGAGCAGGGTGGCTGCGAGTGTGTTGTGATAAGGGAGTACTGTTGAGTTGAGTGTGCTGTGATAGGCGATGTCTGGTGTGAATGCGTAGCTATGCCTGGGTGTATACGCAAGGCTCCCACTTGGTGTACTGGGTGGGTGCACAGGTGGCCATGTGTGAGTGTGATGGAATGACCAAGGGCCACAGTGTGTGTGTGTGTGTGTGTGTGTGTGTGTGTGTGAAGATCGTGGCCTCACCGGGAGATGCGGGTGTGTGAACGCGGTGTGTGATGGGGTGTGTGATGGTGCCCCAGAGTGTGTGCCACACTGAGTGTGCGACAGCGAGTGTGCTCAGTGGTGCCGGTGGTTCCAGTGGAGCCACTCGAGCACAAAGCTCGCTCCGGGGTGGGGGGGGACGGTGGAGATGAATCAACGCGGGCGGACCCCCTTCCCCGCGGTGGCGGGAAGCGCCCCCTCCCGCACAGCCCTGTTGAACAATGCGGCAGCACGCGGCGAGGCCGGGCGTGGGGTCCCGGTCCTACACACAGGGCTGGCTGGCCCTCAGGGCCCCTCCAGTGCCCGGCCCCCGGCTGCGGGACCCGCCCCCGCCCTGCCCCGCCCCGCCCCGGCGAGGAGCATGGAAATGGACACCCGCCGCCCCCGGCCGAGCGCGCGCGCACACACACACCCCGGGCGCACGCTGGGCACACGCCACGCATGGTGCGCGAGCCCCGCCACCCAGGTGGTTCGAGGACCCTGGACAGCGGCTCCGGGGCGGCCGGGAGCCGAGGAATGGGGTCGATGTCGCCCGCCCATAGCAGGCAGCAAGTGCGGACTAGGACCTTACCCGACAGTGCCGCCTCTCCGTCTCCTTGGCGCGCTGCGCTCCTGCTCCAGCCGCCGCCGCCGCCGCCCGAGCGGCCTCGGCTGCCTCCGGCGGGGCTGGCGGGCGGACCCGCGGACTCCGCGCCGCCGTGCTCCGCGCCCGCTCCGCGCTCTCGCCTTGCGCCCCGCCCCGGGCATGCGCGCTGGCCGACTGGCGGCCTCCGAAGCCGGGAGGGGGCGGTGCCGGCGAGGAAAGGGAGGCCCGAGGGAGGGAGGGGCGCCCCTAGCCCCGCGCTCCTCACCGAGGTCCGGGGGCTCCTGGGTTCCCCGCTCTCCTCGACCCGGTTCCCATTTCACAGACAAGGAGACTGAGGGGCGGTGCGCCTGCCCATTTGCTGCGCGCCTGTTGCGGGCGGGGCGCGTTGCCCGTCAGATCTCACTCAATCCAGCCCCGCGAACACCCTCTACTAGTTTTACCCAGGAGGAAACTGGGACTCAGAGAGGGAAAGCCCCTTGTCCAAGGGCACGCAGCGCCTGGATAGGGACCCAGGTCGGCGCGATCCCCGAGCTCCCCCTGCGCGGAAATTTCCCGCCTCCGCCTTGGCCCCACTTCCGGCCTTCTCTCCCGGCACCCCGCCCCGCCCCCGCCCCTTTGTCTCGCCACCGCCCACGCTCCCGCGAGTTGAGGGGACACGAGTAGGGTGGGAGCGAGGCTCCTTGGAGTCCCTCGCTACGGGCCTCCCTAGCCAGGGTGCCCGCCCACCCTCTGGTCTATGAAAGCTCGGTTCTCCTCCCTCTGGGTATCCTTCAGCAAGTCATTTCCCCATTTTTGAGACTCAGTTTCCCAGTCTATAAAATGGGACTAACATTAATCACCTCACAGTGGTCTTGGAAGGATGAGGTAGGTGTTCAGGGGTTTCCAGTTGAATCTGAACTGCCGAGGACATGAGGCCTTTTTGCCTACCACCCCCCTCGACATTTCTTCGCAGAGAAATAGTCCCTTCCTCTTTGACCTCCCAGAGGAGAACAAATAATTCTGTAATTGCCGAGAGGTGATAAAACCTTCTTACTTGTACAGGGAGGCCACCTATTAAAAATGGTAACAACTAAGGTTAATGTAACGTTTATTTAGGGGTAGAAACCGTGCTAACTTTTTGTTACGGTGTCATAAAATTTCAATTTCCAATCACTTAGGAGCAAATTAATATTTATATATTATATCCCCATTTTTCAGATAAGAAAACTTAGAAACAGATATTAACACAACTAGTTAATAGTGGAGCTAATTCCTGAAACCTCACGCTAAACCCTTAGCTTCTATTCCTCCCACTTACATGGTGAACCATAAATCACCGTGATCTTTTATAAATCCAGGTAGTAAATGAAGAAAATCTATCGGACCAACGTCTTCAGCCAGCATCCCAGGGAAGCAGAAAACCTCAGGATGCCGGACCAGTTTTCAGCACCATGGACAACACCAAACACAAGGGATACTTCCTAACGCTTCAGGCCCTGAAAATTGCTCATTCACTGCCCACAAGAGCACTATCCCTCCACAGTATACAAACCCTATTCTACATTCATTGTTTCATTTTATTCCCCCTACAATCCTCCCAGGTAAACATTATTGGCCCCATGATACGGATGAAGACATCGAGTCTTGGAGAGGTTCAAAAGACATGACAGTTGGCAAGAACCAACCTGTGATCTAAAAAGCTCCCCCTGGGGGCAGAGTCAGGGTGGATAGGAGTAGAACCAGGGCATGAGTGAGGACGCCGTGAAGTTGTCCAGGTGAGAGATGATGATGCCCGAAACATGGCAGTGTTTGTTGGGATAGAGAAGAGGGGCGGGGTTTGATACCTATTTAGGGGTAAAGTCAACAGGTCTTGGTCATGGGTGGTTGTGCCTGTGAGGGGAGAGAGAATTCTGTTGCCTGGGGAGCTGAGTGGTTGGAGGACAGGTACATCTGATGAGCCCTGGGGAAAGAAGGAGCTTGTGGGGCCACCATGCTGAGACATCTGAGTCTAAAACTGAGCTCTTGAGTGGCCAGGCTGGAGACAAACCAGGGTTCTGGTGATGGAAGTCATGAGAGGGGTGTCAGTACATGAAGAATGAGTATAGACCAAATAAGGTGAAACAAGGGCCCTACATCCCCCCTGAGGAATGCCAACATTAAGGTACCAGCTGGGAAAAGAAGACTGCAAAAAAGAATGAGAAACAGTAATCTGATAAACCAGAAGAAACTCAGGAGAATGATGCTTTAGAAGCCAAGGGAAGAGAATATTCCAGAAGGAAGGCAGGGTCAACTGCATCAGGATGACAAGATATGGCCTGAGAGATGATTTCTGGACTTTGCAAAGAAGGTAATGGAAATTTGATGAAAGCACAGTGAGTGGAGTGGTGGGGGTGGAAGGCAGACATGGGGCGGGGGAATTGATGAGTAAATTGGAGTAAAGAAGTAAAGAGAGCAAGAAGATGACTCTCTCAGCAAATTTGGGCTTGGAGGGAGACAGGCAATAGCATAAGCTCTACAGTGGGATAGGAGGTTAAATTGAGGAGATTTGGAGGCATTTAAATTCTGATGAGAGGGGCCAGTAGTGAGGGAAAGGGAAGATGCCAGGAAGGGAGAGCACAATGCCTGGGCCCAGATGCTCAGGGTGGAAGAAGAGGTTGGGATCCAGAGCCTTGGGGCAGCTCACAGATCCTGAGATGAAGATTGAGGGAATGTGGTTCATTTGGGAGGTGCAGAGATACCAGCAGGGGAGTGGGAAGGTGACCCAGGAGGGGAAGGCATCCAATAAGAGATGGTTATTAAGCCAGCTATCCCAGTGGGTGGGTGAAGTGTAACCCTGCAGGAAGTTTTAGAAAATGGGGTAAATGTACACCTCAGAATTCCCCTGGCTGATGGTAAGTGAGCTGGTGTATTTATATCCCAGCACCTGGCAGACACTGATGAAGGGCCAACCCATGGAGCTATGTGTTAATTCCCAGGCACTTCTGGTCCACAGTTCATGCGGGTAAAGCGGGTTCTAAAGCCCAGGGGCAGATTTTTGACAAGGATGCAGGTACCACCTGTTGGGAGTCTTGCTGGTGGGCACAGAAATTATAAGGGCATCTGAAAGGATGTGGTCAGAGCTCCAGTTCCGTCTGCTACATGGGCACAGTCAGGGCCTCTTTCCATCTGTGCCCTTTGTCACACTCTCCAACCACCTTTGTTCCATGGGGACTTACTGATATAAACATGTTTAAAAATGAAAATTTCCAGACAACAAAACACTTGCTAAAGCAGAGTGGGAGCTCCAAAAGGGCATGGAAGCAGGCAGTGTGGGTTCAGATCCTGACTTTGCCAGCAACTAGCTGTGTGGCCTTGATTGAGGTCTGTCTGAGTCTCAACTTCATCCTATGTAACTCAGCTCTCAGAGTCCTGAAGAGGATATAGGGAGAAATAAAACCAAGCACCAAGCATAGTGTAGCACTCACGGTAGACGCCAGGGTTGTTTTTTTTTTTTTTTTTTTTTTTTTTTGTTATAGCACAACTTATATATTTCAAATGGACAAAAAATTAGTATCGTTTACAGTATCTTAAGATAAACTGCCTTTGAAGAGGAGCTTCCTTTCCAGTACTTTGAGGTCTACAAGATGTATCTAGAAAATGTACTACTGTGGAAAATGACTGCTTAAATCGAATGGGGGGGAGGGGGGGCCTGTGGTTTCTCTTTTTGATTAATTGCTGTAACACTGTCCTTCAGGCGGCTGAGGGAGTTTCGTGTTTTCTTTAGACATCATTAGGTGCCGGAGCTTTTGCAGGACAACTTTGATGCTATATGAATTCTGCCATTTTGGTAGCACTGATATGGCTCTTGGGTCCACCACTCCATTAGAACTATTAACTCCATTCATATTAATTTTTGTTACAAATCTTACAAAGGGGGGTGCTTCTGGGTATTTAGGTCCACATTCTATTTTAAGGCTGTATATTCGGTTTTCATAAATTGTCTTGGGGCCCCGACACCAGCTGCTGTTCTGGGTCCATCCTGCAGCTCTTTGGCTCAACGGCACCTTCTTCTCAGAAGTCCTCCTGACTCCCCATCTGAAGTCTTCTGTCAGACCTCCCTTGATAAATCTTGGAGGCCCAATTATCATCCCTGTCCATCTTTTAAGTGTCATGTCTTCATCATCTTCTAGACCCCAGCTAACTGTGCCATCTCCTACTCCTTTCTGGCCTTCTTCCAGTTCTTCCAACAGTCGAAAATTGCGAAGGACTTTTACTCCCGAGCCCGTGGTGGCTGCCATCTTTAGACGCCAGGGTTTTGGCAAGGCCAGTCCTGTGCACCCTTTTTGACCTCAGCACCTCCATTTTCCTTGGGGAACCACCTTCCCACTCCAGTCCATGTGGTGGGGTAGGATGGGCCTCCCTGTCAGCTTTAGGGGTGGGCAGTGACCTAGGCCTGACCAACCGCTATGCAGTGATTAGTTCTGGGGGTGGGCCAGAGCACAAGACCACAGCCTGGGCAACTAGCTTTCACACTTTCCTGGCGCTTTGGGGGTGGCTGAATTGGTGGTGTGTCTCCCTGGAGCTGCTGGGGGGTCATCTCTGTCCCCATGTGGAGCAAATCTGCTCGGGCCCAGGTTGTGGCTCACCCTGTGATAACTAACACGGTCACCACACCCGTGTGAGTGTGTGCGCGCATGTATCTCGGGTTGTCCTGCTGCTGGGAAGCCATACACACTCTTACGCACCAGAAGATAAACAAGTGCCTGCAGCTCCTTGGCTGGCACCCAGGCTGGGGGTGGAATAAACATCCCAGTGACTTTCTGAAAAGCACGCGTGTGTGGTGACAGGCGCCATGGAGACGAGCAGACTGTACCAGAGCAGACGCAGCCGCCCCCCAATTCCACCCCTCTGTGCACGCGTGTGTGCACGCACACACACATCTTGTGCTCTCTCATGTTCACATCCACTCCATCAAACACATTCCCTCTTCACACCCATTCCAGCTTTGCTTGAGGTTAAAGGCTTTTGAGAAAAGTCTGAGACTCCTGATATAACAGCGTCCACAGTTTCTTAGCTCCTTTGCCTGAACACTGGTCCTGGTCTAGGCTGAATTGCAGCAAATCATGGCCTCTACCGAAGGTGTGATGTGTGTGGGGGGGGGCAGGGAGAGAAAGGGGTGGTATCATAAGGCAAACAGTGCCATTAAACCCACTTTCTGAAGAGTTCTTATCTTTGCTTCAGAGACATGCACACAATACACATTCACCCAGTTCTTCAAGAAACACTCATCCAGATCCCTGCCCCACTGAGGCTTGTACAGACTCACCTGAATACAAACACTCAGATATGTATCCATTCTCATGCAGCAATGTATAATCCACTATACCCTAGATGATGACAGTGGTGGTAGTGGTGTACCATTCACTGGCTGCCTAGGTGTTTTACAATCATCATCTTATTACATTTAATACTTAAGGAAAACCATCTGAGATTGATAATATGTTTCCCATTTCCTAAGTGAGAAAACAGACATTCAGAGAGGTTAAGTAACTTGCCAGGGTCACACAGCTAGAAAGTGACAAAGCTGGGAGCAAAACTCCTGCCCACACTATTAGCCCTTCTTCATTTAGTCACATGTACGTGTGACACCCCATGCATGTGCAGGCATACACACACACACACACACACACACACACACACACACACGAAAACCCTGCCTCCTCAGTCAGCCCAGATAACTGATGTCCATGGGGTGACCGTCCCCACCCCGACCTCCTCATATGCATCACTCCCAGGCCCTCACAGCACTGCCCTGATATTCATGAGAGCCCCTGGACTAGAAACCTATGAGCACAGTGTGCTGCCCACATAGGCCCCCTCCCTCCCTCTCTACACCCCCCTTCCACTGGCAGCTGCAGGCCCTGGCCTAGCTGGGGGCGGCCCTGGGATTTGGATGGGTGACTCAGGCTGAATCATGACCCAGCTAGTCCTTGGCAGCCCTCTCCCCCATTCTGCCCAGAGAGCCTATTTTGAAGGCAGAGGTGGGCCTTGGGCGGGGGGGGGGGGGACAGGAAGAGGGGGTAGTATGGGATGGGGCCAGGGAACAGGGGTGCTTGAGAAAGAGGAATCAGGCACAAGAGGGTCTCTGAGCTGTCCTCTGCTCCTCAGTGGTCTGCAGGTGCTCTCAGGCAGTCCCCAACCTTGACCTTCATTCTGCCAGAGAAGGAGCTCCTTCTTCCCAGACACAGGTCATGGGCTCCCTCTCTGATCCCAAGGCCCACTTTGGTTGCCCTGCCCCACCTCTTGGTCCTGATAATAACAGTAACAATATTTACTATTCTAATTGATCACTCACATGTTACAGCACTCTACAGTTTGCAAAACACCTTTTCATCAGTATCTCATTTAATTCTCTTATCAGTGCTATGGGGTGAAAATTAGTATCCTTACTTTTGAGCTGAGCAAACTGAAGCTCAGAGAGGTTACATGAACTATCCAAGGTCACCCAGTCGGTGAAATGACAGAGCCAGGAACCAAGCTCAGGATTCCTGGTCCAATTTGTGGATTGGATTAGGGCCAGAGATGAGCTACAGCTGGACATGGTGGGGTATAGTGGCAACATGGTAGGGGGACTGGGGTGTGGCATGGTAAGGCATGGTTGGGGCATCAAAAGGGGCATGGTAGGGGTGCCTGGGTGGCTCAGTCAAGTTAAGCCTCCGACTCTTGATTTCGGTTCAGGTCATGATCTCAGGGTTATGAGATCGAGCCCCACAGCAGGTGCTGCGCTGCGTGTGGAGCCTGCTTAAGAGTCTCTCCCCGCCCCTCCCCCTCTAAAGAAAAGGGGGTGCTGGTGGAGCAGCATGGAAGGGGCACTGTGGAGGGTATGGCAGAGCCATTATTGGTTGCTTAGTATGCAGCAGGATCATGACAAAATTTTTCTCTTTAGCGTCTGCAACTCATAGATTATGGAATTTTTCTATACTGTTAAATCTTCTTTTTCATTGTTTCATGCCAATATCCCGACACTAACAAAACCAAAGCTGTGGAGTTGCTACTGAGAAGACTTCAGCTGTGGGGCCTTTGCTTCCTGAAGCCTCAGTTTCCTCATCTGAAAAAATGGGTCCAGGCCTCTGGCAGAGTGGGCTATTGAGAGGCACAAGTGAAATCACATGCATCATGTCCTTTAGAGGCTGTGAAGGACTTCACAAAAGATGCTGTTTTTTACATTTTGTTTTATCTCTTAAAAAAACACACACGGATGCTGGGCAGAGGGCGGAGTGGGCTTCTGGGAGCCTGGGGGAGGCACTGAGAGGGGGAGTGGGTGACAGCTCTTCCTTCCCCCCTGCCTGGGCTCGGCCTGGCCTTCCCCCACCCTCAGCCCAGAGCCAGTTTCTAGGCAACGGGATGGATGCAGGGATGGTTCGGAGAGGGGAGAGAGCTATAAATAGGGAAGGGAGAAAACAAAAATAAAGTTCCAGAGAAAGCTGTGGAGCCAAATTACTAGGGGTGGGGGTAGGGAGACTGGGAGGGAGACAGGCGAATGGGAGGAACACCAGGGCAGCCCTCAGCCCTTCATCAGGGGAAGAGGGCAATTTTCAGATGAGCCAGCCCGCAAAGGCCCTCCGAGGACTGACATGGGTGCGGTGCAGGGGTGGGGGTGGGGTCTTGGGTGCCCAGCTGAGCGGGATAGGGGTGATGAGAAATTACTTCTTGTTGGAGAACAAGGGAAAGATCAGAGAAGGAAAGGATTTCAATAGGCAGCGTTGAGGGCAGCTATCCAGGTGAAAGAAAGAGCACAGGTGGAGGAAGGGAAGATTCGGCTGGACCCACAGACTGGGGAGGCCAGGCTGGGCTCAGCCTCGCTGCTGGTCCACCTGCCATGTGACACAGACACAGAAAGGTGGGCCCCCCTTCCTCAGCTGCAGTGCTCCTCTCCCCAGATCTTCCCATGCTAACCCCCCTTTCATTCAAGTTTCAGGTCCAACCTCACCTCCTCAGATGTCTGACCTGACCACCCCAATTTAATACTGGTCACCACCCTCCTTGTCATCATCTCTCACATCACTCTGTTTTATGTTTGTCACAAAACTCCGAATTATCTTGTTCCAAGTTTTTGTTGACCCACGGGATGTGAGCTCTGTCAGGGCTGTTCCCTGCAGCCCCTCACTTCTAAGAATGGTGTAGGCATTGTTGAAGGACTAATCTCACACAACACACTCGGGCAACATCCATGTACACGCGTGGACGCAGATACACCTGCATCACATAGGTAAGTGCACACACAGCTCAACCCTCCCCTCCTCGCTTGCAGTCCCCATGAAATTGCATGAGTGTCTGATTTCTGCTCTGCAGCTGCCTCCACATTTCCCTATTGTTGGTGTTTTTTGTCTCTCTCAGAGCAAGTTTGGGAAAATTCCAAAGGAGGTGAGCTTCAGACTCAGAGTTGGGGTTGAATGTAGCCTTTGCCACTTCCCAGCAATGTGACCTAGAGCAGGTAACTTTGCCCCTCTGGCCTCCATTCTCTCATCCATCAATTGGGGTATTAGAATAACAAGGACCCCTTGAGGACGGTTTCAAATAAAATTAATGGAGTCAAGTGTTGGATGTTGGGGACCTACTGGGCACTTGAGAAATGGCTCCATCCTTTCATAAGGGAGGAACCCATGAGCTGTGTCTTCTCACACGTGTCCCCAGAGTCAGGACTGCCGTGTGACACAGGGCTGGCATCTTCCCTGGATGCGTCTGGGCCTGGGCCTGGAATGCATTTAAAGTGACCCAGGCGGGTGAAAACATTAGTTTCCGAGCAGAAAACCAGGTGCGTGGCTTGGCACCCAGGAAGGAGGAATAAACCTCCTCACAATCCAGATGGTCAACCTGGTTTTGGCACCTAAAAATGTGAATCAGGTGCTGGTAGTGGGAGGGGAGGTGGCGAAATCAAATTCTTTACCAGCCAGGTAGTTCATAAAAATGAGTGAAGTGGATGAGACGAACAGGATAGGGAGGGAGAGGGACTGTCGCTAACTGGAATCAAATTAGAAAAATTTAAACCTTGTGCTAGCACATTAAACATCGCTACAGGCCAAATTTAACATGAGGGCCACGACTTTGCAATCCCGCGAAGAGTGGGTTTGTAAATAGTGCCTTAAATCAGTCAAAAGGGATCTGAAATCCTGGCACCTGCACGTTGAATCGGAGAATCTGAGCCCACAGGTTTGTTCTCCCTACACACACGTCTGCCAGCTGCCTCCTACTTCCAGAAATAA